GGTGTGTGAACAGTCTAGAGAAGAGGTAATGATCATGGTGCCTGGGACACCTAGTAAGTGAATCAAAGGCCCAGCAAGCTTCTTTGAGCAAGAGTTCCCTTCTAGTTCATCCTCCAGGACTTCCTGATCCCAGTACACTTCCCAGTGCTTTAGGATAGCTCACAGACTTGTCTATATTGGGGTGATCACCAGGACTGCAGCAGAGATCTGTTGCTGAATGGATCTTTTCCCATTTACTCTGTGGGAAAGTGGTAGCCTAACCCAAGCATGTAAGAGGCTTCAGTAAGCAGCTTTGCAGTCTGAGAACTATATATAAAGTTTTTTCAGGTTTTGCTTTATTTTTTATTTCCTCTCTGTCATACAGACACTGTATTGACGAGTGAGTTTTGCAGTTCTCTGTACTGAAGTGATGAACTGTTGTCTTCTGGAACTGGAAAAAATGTGGTGAAACCATCAGTCCAAAACGCTGTCTCTTTTATTTTTTCTTTTCCTTTTTAAATGTTAGTCCCTGCAGAAGTCAGCAGTTTTTCTCCCAACTTCTCTCAGTAATGCTAAATATTTCTGAAGGATGCATGAGGTGACTCCTTGACAACTGTACAGTATTTTTAATACACTCGGGGAGGATGAATCAAGAGACAAAGAGGGTCCATCTGGAACAGGAAGAGAACTTGTGAAGCTGACTCAGGGAAGCTTTGATTGTCTTTAGGTTCTGTCTTTGTTCAGCAGTGCAAAAATTCCCTTCAGTTCCGTGCCAAAGCCATTTTCCCCTTGTATCTCAGTATGTCATGTTACCACTCTGCATAGTGATGAAACTGCAGTGTCATTATGTATGATGTCAATCTCTGTCTTGGTATAGTTTAATCATTTGACTGTAACAAAGTCAAATGATTAAACTGCCCCAATCACTCCCATCTCCCAAGACCAGTTTTCCCAATGATTTGGGCAAGTAGAAAGCTGCCACTGAAACAGATTTACTATTCATGTGTTTTTTTTCAGATCTGTCTCATTAGAAGTTCAAACCTAGCAAGGAAACCTTCCTTGAAACAGATTTTCAGTGTAATACATAATGGTTTTGGCTCCAGTGAGGCTTGATCCAAAGCCTCTCAAAATGATTGGAAAAGCTTCCATTATTAAGCCATAAGAGTCTGAGTTTGAAGGGTGTGATGCCAACCTTGTCCATTGTATTTTTATATCTGCAACTCTCTAAAGACCTTCTTTTGACATGCAGTTTTGAACTTGCCTGAGGTGGTCAGAAACTCCAACAGAAAAACAGAAGCTGTGCTGATTTCATTCATGAGTAGACAAGAAGTGATATAAAATTTGAATTCTGACTTTTCTGACTCCATTGTCCCAGGATCGCTGCTTCAGAAGTGAAGTGGCTGACTTTAAGGTTGCTTTATGATTTCTTACTTATTTTTCTGAAATATGACTTCTAAGGTGATGCAGGAGTAAACTGTGAACAGATAACCACTTTCACAAATTCTACATACAGGCCGCATTTCCTGCTTCTGAAAACTATATCACTACACACTGCTGGCATACCTGGGGAAGTTTGGAAATGCATTGCTTTATTCCTTTTACCACAGGTGCCCTTAATGCCTTTGTTAAAGCATTTTCTGTGGCGGTTCATTGATTCCTGTTGTATCTAGGGCTTCTTCAGATTTCTACATCTCATTGCTTTCAGTGAGGAAATAGTTTGCTAAATATTGTGGAAGTTTTAACTTCAGCAAAATTGAATAACATTTGTCCTTTTTAGCCTAATACCACTTTGCATCTTCATGTGGAACAAATGAGTCTTTTGGAGGGAGTGAGACTATCTGCAGTGCTGTCTGTAATGTCTGTGTCTTTCATCACCTATGTTAATGTGTCCTTCCTCATGTTTCCTTTCCTGGTTCATTCTTTCAGGGTTGGAATCTGGCCACATCCCTGGTGCTGTGAACATACCCTTTCACTCATTCCTGTCAGAAACAGGGCATGAGAAGAGTATTGAGGAGATCCAGGAAATATTCCGTGAGAAGAAAGTGGATCTCTCGAAGCCGCTGACAGCCACGTGCCGCAAGGGCGTCACGGCGTGTCAGATTGCCTTGGCAGCCTTCCTGTGTGGCAAGCGCGACGTGGCCGTGTACGATGGCTCCTGGTCCGAGTGGTTCCACCGAGCTCCACCACACTACAAGGTCTCGGAGTTGAAGCGCAGCAAGGCCTAGAGGGAGAGCTGTGTCTGGGGTAACACGGTCGAGCAGCTGTCTCCAGCCCAGGGTAATGCAAAAGGGAGGAGGTGGAAGTAAAAAAAAATCGGTTCGATTTTGCCAATTTTTTTGGGAATTATCATTAGGTTTCTATTGAACTTCTGATTTTTGACAATTAATAAAATCTTAGATGATGCATCTGTGAGTGTTTCTAATTCTCTTCTGTTACCTGCGACCTGCTTGTGTTGAGTAAGAAAAGAAGCTCTGCAGCATGAAAGAGAGTTATACTCTGTGCCTGAAGACCTGCAGAAATTCCAGTGGCCTGGTGAAAGATCAGGAGCAGAAAGAAAGCAAAGTCCAGTGCTACAATACAGCACTGAGTATTGGACATGGGAGGGCCAAGTGTGGTTCTGTCATTGACTCTATGGAAGATTTCTTGCCAACCCACCATCTTCCTATTTGGAATGTGGAAAAAGAGGGTACCTTCCATATGGCAACTGGACCCAACCCACAGGGATGTGTGTTGCTTCCCTGGGGTCCGCGTAAGGGACATGTATGGTATCAACTGGTATGGCCCACTAATTATTACCCTCTACTGGTGTTCCAGGTAGGTGGCAACAGGGTCTAGACAAGAAGGCTGAGGTCAGAGAGCCCATGTGAAGCATTTGGAAATGTTAAAGATCCATTTCTGATGAAATACGGTCTCTTTTATTACCATGATTGTTAGGAAAGTCTCCATGAAATCCTGTATGTGTGATGAGAACTTGTGGGCATGGTAATTTAATGAAACATGAGCCTCTTACTCTGCTTCTTGTGTGTTTTTCCAATGAGCAAGGATAACCCTTCTCTACACTGTAAAACTTCATCTTTCCCATGGAGCTGTAGCCCACAGCTCATAGAGGGATGGAGCATTGTTCCCTAGCAACCACCTCTACTCTTCAACCTCCATCCTGCCTTCATACCTGGACTTCAGCAGGACCTGCCTGCTTCTACAAACCACCAGTCACCACACCAGGGATCATGGACCAGGTGAGAGAGGTGGTTATGGAAGAGGCTTTGCCTCTCGGTTAATCATAGATATTTGGAGTTTTTTAATCAATTAAAAAAGAGGAGAGAGAGAAATGTCATTTTCACATCCATGGGGCTCCTCAGGTTTGGAGTCACTAAAACCTCCTCACACTGTGGAGACCCAGTCAAATGTGGAAGGGCTATGAGCCCACTCTTGGCCATGTCTGGAGTCTGGTGAGGGTGGGCAGTTCCCATAGCTGTCTAAGGAGATTTTCTGCTTGAGAAGAACAACCTTCCTTAAAGGCTGCATGTCAGGGGAGTCAGTGTTAGGCTATGCTAAACATTTCGTTCAGAAAGAAAGATCGCGTTTAACCCTCTTTAGCTCTTTGATCAAGATACATCTTCTCTGATTGGTTGCCTGTTGTCCCTCACAGAATTGGTTTAGCAAAGCAATAAGTAGACATACTTCTGTGGTTTCTGTTATCTAGGAGGATGGCAAAATGGCCTCAAGGTCCTTCTTGACCTCAAAATGTGGGGTTCTCTGAGCAGTGCTTTGACTTTGGACCTTCAGAGTCAGGAATAGAATTAAAAATCACAATCACATGCAGTTGCAGTGTTTTTATAACAGTGACAACAACATCATACATATACAGTTACAAACTAGAAAGTAGGAACAGTTGCAAGCTTTGGTGTCATTTTATCCAAGAGGAGCTGGGGAAATTATTGATGAAAGGGATTTGGGAAATGAACACATTTCCTCATTACACAGAAATTCTGCTTTGTTAGAAGAAATGGGAAAGGAGGAATCATCAGCAGACTGGAAAGTTCTTCCTACCAAATATAGTAATAATAACAAACAGACATGTTTTTGTTTTAAGTAGGAGGTGGGAGTTAGCACAGCAGTTTATTTAGCAGCAGCTTCCTGCACTTTGATCATGTGTAAGTGTATGGCTCTTCTTTAAAAAGAAAGCAGAGTGATAGAGAAAAGAAGCAGATCATTCCCTGTGAGTCAGGACTGGCTTCCTCTCCTCATGTCTTGTGGCTCTGTTCTTTTTATGGGAGAGGTTCTGCAGAGCATGCAGCACTGACTCCTGGAGTCTCTGGCTGATACAGTAACTTCAGCCTCAGGATCGCAATACTTTGTAAGACTTGGTGCTGCAAAGATCCATCTCAGTGTAAAACCCAAGCTGCTGCTGATTCAAGCTCCCTGGTGGAGCACAAGGCTTCCTATCCCATGGGCTGGCACCTTCATTCCCACAATTGCCTCAAGAGCAGAAGGTACGACCTGTGTCATGTCCTGAGCTAATCTGACGAATCCAAGCGTACATTGAATCCAAGCGTACATTCCTACCTGACTCAGATTCCATTTGTCCTGCTGCTAGTGCCAGCAGGCTCACAATTACCATATTCCACCACTATGGGCCAGGACCTCAGTTTTAACTTGTCACAGCCTTTGCATGGGCTAAACTTATCAAATCCCCCTGGATGAGGAGCATACCCAACAAGCAGGATATAACAGAGGGTTACACAGATGTTCCCTCTGCAGGAAAGGCACTTCTTGTCCTAGTTGTCCCATGCAAATGCAATGCCTACAGAAGCCACTAAGGGAAATTCAAGGACAGACCCAGGTCCCAGGGATTAGTCATAGCTCAAAGAGCTGTGCAGGGGTGGAAATGCCAGAAGTTTTTTGCAATTTGGGAATGTGGATTGAGAGTTTCCCTGTTGTTTGTATTTCCAGAAACATCAAGCTGAGGACAACACAGCATTAGAAATGGGACAGAAAGGACCCAACGACTGTACTGAAATGACAAAAAACTACTTGACCTGGGCATCTCTTTCAGATTATCAACAGCTGGATTACAATTTGAGAGTAAATCTCTTCCAAGGTGAGGGGACACACCACCTACCCCTGACCTTCAAAAGTGGTTCTATCTATGCTTTGCCAGGGCTCAAGTAGCCACATTGCTGTGGGTAGAGATCTGACCATAGATAATAATCACTTTCCCCTCTCATTCCTTCTATCCAAAGTCACTGCTTTTCCAGGCTGTAGTACCTGAGAAACTGGAATCTAGACACACTCTCATTTTATGTATTCTATCCCTTTCTTTTCTTTCACATTTTTTCCCCACAGTGTGAAAAGTGAAGGTGAATCATAACCTCTGTCCAGAGTTGTCCAAATGGACACTACTTGCAATTCAATGTTCCCTGTCGTCTCCAGTTGCTAGTTGCCTGCAGTTCCAGTACCAACATCATTTCTCTTCCAGACCTTTAGACATGTGGAACTCTGAAATATCTTTCCCTAACCTCTGCTCCCAAGGTTCCCCAGGATCCCTCCATCTAACCACATATTGAAAACTGAACATTTGTCCAAGAAACTCTGAAATAATTGTCACTGTTCTAGTTTCTCATGTACCAACATAAGGCAGATTCCTTTTCCTTATACAGAATGTTCCATGACAAGACCTTGCTGAATATTGAGGACTGCATTGTCCTGGGTTTGTGTGGTCACACAGAAAAGAAGGGCATCTTTCCTCAGGGAGCTCAGAATCAATGTCGTCAAGACAAAAGTGTGATTAAAAATAAGGTGAAGAGGAAAGGGTTAGAGATTAAAATAAAGCCCTCTCGTGGCTACAAGTAAAGAGGGGATAAATAGAGAAGTCACAGTTGGCAACTCTTTGTTAAGTATTGTGGCAGAAAATGAGATCAAGAAGGCCTGGAGTGGTAAGATGGTGGGGGTTTTGTGGAGTTGTGCTGTTAGTAGCTGCTAGGAAGCTAGTCACATGGATAAGGAGATTCAACAGGAGGTAAGTGGGCACTTAACTGAAGAAAGGGCACTAGGATACAAATAAAGATGATACCTTGCAGCACCCTCTGTGTGCATCTCATACTTGAGGATAAAAAGCAGATAAATTGGCAAACACAAGCAGCTTCCTGGATGGTGATGATGAAGCTTATAGTTCAGCACCCAGCCTCAAACCTGATCGAAGGTACTGCAGTCACATGCCTTTTCTTGAGCCCTTGCAACTGCTGGTGTTGCTCCTCTGCTCAAATCCAGGACTGCAGTAGGGTGATTTCTACATAAAATTCCTTATTTGCTGTTCCTTGCAGGTGGCCCACTGAAGATTCAAAGCTTGATGAGAGATTCCTACACCCCTGACATATTTCAGAAGGCAGTCATAGATCCCAGACATTGGCATGGAAGGACAATTAGTGAGCTAGGTATGACTTCTGCCAGGAAAAGTACATTGCTGAATTCCTGAGATGGATGCTGCTTCTGCCAAGGACAAAGGATGAATTTGGGCAGAGGCACAAGGGGAGTAGAAACTGGCATTTTAACAAGAGAGAAACTCTACAGCTAGAATAATCCTTGGGGTATGATAGCACTAGGAGGGAAGCTGTAACTGAACTGATTTCCCTTCTTTACAGGGAGATGGTATGAGAAATACTTCCTAGATCTTAACGTGCAGAAAGCAATGAAGAAGAAATATGGGGGGGTTAAAAAAGACAATTCCTAGAAGATGGAAGTTGAAGATTGGAGTGCGTTCAACAATGAGTCTTTTTCTTCCACCATCTAATAAACCTGCCTGTGAAACCTGAACCCATTGCCTGCCAGCTGGCAACAGCAGATTTGTTCCTGGTGCTTTCTCCCCTCTCTGTTAAAGTGTCTCTGGAAAGAAGAAGTGTGAGATAAGTCTGAATATGCTAACAAGAAAAAAATCACTTTGTTGTTCCCACCACTGGTATGGCGGGAAGGATTAGTGTGTGAGGTCCATACCCTTGCAGAAGAATGTTGTGTTGAGAGGAACCCACACAGAAATTCACTTGCTCGGCATATAAGTTGGCGCAGGACCTGTGAGTGTTGTAAGAGGGCAGTGGTGAAAGGGGTGTGTATTTGTGAGCAAGCTCATGTTTGCCAGAAGATTCATGACACTTTGACAGCTATCCCAGCAGTCCAGAGAGTACAGAGGATTCTCTGGGAACCAGCCATGGTTGTCCCAGCAGCAGAAATGTGCTAAAGCAAATGGAAATTCACCTGAGAAGAGGTGGCATCAGGCTGTTTGTGAAAGCTTATGGTATTTACAGGCCAAAACCAGTGAAAATAAAACCAAATAAACAGCAGCTTATTCCACCTAAAGGGAACAGGAAAGATGCAAGAAGCCTCAGGACTCCTCCAATGCAGAAATCACCCCACAATGTGCATGTACCCTTACTGAAGCTCTGATAAACCCCACTTGCCCCCAACAGACCTTTACCTAGCTCAGAGGTAAGTGACTCTCAGAGAGAAGCACATGCATCCAGCATCAATATGTACAACCTGGAGTACGGGACTGGATCTGGGAAGTAAGTAAGGACCACCCAAGGGCTGAATGATGCAGGATATGCAGGGTCTTTAGTGCTTCCTGATGTTTTTTTCTCACAAATTTAATGGTCTTTATTGCAGAACTGTGCCTTCCAACTCCAAAGTGTAACGACTTAGTACAGCAATCACAAAGTACATTTCTGGGAATAGCAATGCCATGTTCTTCCCTGTCTGGGCCTAAGCTCTCACCATTTTAGAAGATTGATGCTTCATTCAATAATATGAACTGTTTTGGGACAGAATTAGGATTGTTACCTCACCATTGGCTGGTGATTAGACAACAGTATGCTGACTTTGTTAAAGTAGTGAAGGAGGTTAACATTTAGCTAATATGATAATCAAGAGATAATCATTTTCCACCACCAATAATTAACCAAATATTTCCAGGCAGATGTCCAAGTCTTTCAAATTAAGGATACTGGCCAAATTGCAGCTTGTAGAAACCTCCCTGTGGGTTTGCTTTGTACATTAGTTCTGAGTGGCTGCTGTCTGAGCACACACCACTCTCGCCTCTCCTGAACAGCACAGCTCTGTAGGAACAGCCGGCTCTCTGTGTTGCATCCAGCACTGATGGCCAATATAGCCCCAGGTATATAATGAACACTGTCTTCTGAGACCACTGCAGGTCCTAGTCCAGAAAACATGGAGCTGAACAGAAATCTACTGATGTTGTTTGGCATACTGGAAGCAGGCAGTTCAGGGCACAGTCAGCTAATAGGCAATACATAATGTGGGATGAATCCACACATAGATGTACAAATTTGTTCCTACTAGACATTAAAAATGCCTGCTAGCCATTAGATATGGACACTAGGGCAAGCAAGCAGACTGCAGGATTATAGTTAAGCTGGAAGCAAATGCCCTTTTACTATTCATGAGGGGCTCATTAAAAGAGTAGATCAGAAGAGAAATGGACTGAAAGGTCCTGTTGGTGCACCACTGGGCACAAAATGGGGTATTTGCCTCTTGCAGTGATATGAAGGCACTGTGTACACCTTTTACAAATGAAAATATTTTATAATCTCCTAAATAGTATAAAATACTTGGTGTTGTATAATGCACTCAGATGGGTGGCAGCTGTTTGATGACAAATGAACATACCTGTGTCAATCCCCTTTCATCTTTGCTTTGCCAAATGGTATGGCTCAGGCAGGAAAAAACACTTTCAGACAGATGACACATAAAAGCTGCAGAGATAACTGAGATTGTAGTTTTCAGTAAGGCAGCACAGCTGCTGGGAGCAATCAATACCTGAAGTCTTTGAATGCTGAACAGACTAATTTATCCACAACCTTGGCAAGGAACATTTTCCTGTGTGGAACTTTTTGTTTTAGAATGCTTTGGATATCCAGACACATATATGGAAAGCCAGCCTTGGAATCTCCAGGTACCATGTCATATGCAGTTAGACAGTAACAGAGTTGAAATAAGTGCTCAGCTCACTGCAGCTGAAATCTCCCTTCTATCCATTCTTCAGCTCTCAACAGTTCATTCCTTCTTGCTTGTTTTGTGCTGGTGTTGGTGCTTCCCTGACAATGCTCTTAAGTGAGTCAAATTGATAAACCAGCAGAAAATCAATACAGAAGGAAAACCAAAACAAAACATAAGTTAGCAGGCTAACCAATTAAAATTTCTAAGCGAAGGGTCTTATTGCAGACAAGGCAATGAGTGATGGGATATGCAGATCTGTGGAAAGAAGAGTAGAAGGAGAATGGAGGTGGAAATGGCCTTTCACTGCCTTTTTTATGCAGCAAGAAATTAGTTTGCCTCCACTGTATTGTCTCACAGAACGCAGTGCTTTGCAACACAGGTAGCCCGTATTTAAGTGGTTTTACAGGGTCTGATCATTGGGTGGCAGCTCTGAGCCAGTGTTTTTACCTGACAAGTCAGAAATTTGAAAAAAAAATGAGTTCTTCTCTGGTTTAGCTAAACCATTCACTGAAATTGCTATTTAAGAACTGTTTAGGTCACCTCTGAACAGTCAGTGCACTTGAAATATAATCAGACTACAAGGATTTGAAGTAGAATAAACCAGTTTCACCCCAGCTTCTGCAGCACTCTCCCCACAACTTTTTCTAGCAGTAATGGCTACTTCCCAGTTCAGGGTCATGCATCCCTGCAGTTAAAGCACAGGTTATTTTGCAGGGTATCACTTTCAATAAATATTTCCTATTATCCAAACTATATTTTATTTTTTTTGTCATTTAACCCTCTGACCTCTGCCTACCTCACGCTTTCCTGAATGATTTCAACCTTTGGTGTCTAAACTGTGAATGACTTGGAATAGCTCATATAAAGAGATGGTGACAACTGTAAGAATAGAAGACAGACCCTGCAAAAACTCCTTTTAGCGTCTTCAGCCAGCTCTACGAGTCAATACTTTGTGCTGCAAACTTACACGGAAGTAAAACTCAAATTCAGAGCTACATCTATCCTAAGTAAGCCCAGTATTCCTAAAAGAATAGAGTACTTACTGCTGATCCTGCCTATAATGGGACAAAAGAGAAATCCAGCACTGCTTGAAGTGACAAGAGATCACAACAAAAAGGGAGCAGGTGAATTGACTTCAGTGGATTTCACTCTCAGGCACTGAGTTTAAAATGCAATTGTGTCTTACATTTGAAGGTATTAAAAACTCTTATTCATCGAGAGAACGGTGATTTGAGGGTTAGGAATTACCTGTGGTGCTCCACTTGATAGTGGTCGAGCAAATGAGCCAAGGAGCAAGAAGGGTATAAAACACAACCAAATCTCAAATGGTGTGTTCCTCAGGGTTCACTTTGTCCTTTCCTTGCCACAGACTGCTCTCTGACAGAGCCAAGGCTTCATGGATTGAAGCTGGAAAAGCAGTGACCCAGTGTCAGGGGTGGGATCACTGTGCTTGGAAACAGTACAAGAAGTTTAAGAACAGTAACTCCTTACAGATGGAGCTCTCCCAGCTTTGGGAAAAACAGGAGCGAGGGCTACATTGAAAAATATACAAGAAGGTCTATTGCTGATTTTAATGAACAGGCCTAGAATTTTTATGCTGAGTTGCTGTTTTATCCCTCTTAATAACATTCCTTTTCTTTTAAACCCTTGGATTCATCGCTTCTGAGCAGGAAAACTGATTATCCAAGCTCATTATGTGCCCAAGTGAAATCATTTTCCTATAACCTGAGAGCCTTGAACTGAAATTGATTAACTATTTTTAGAAAGAAGCTTTAGCTAAATCTGACTTCTTTCCCTGCCAATCACACCTATCAGGGGAGTGCAAAACAAGCCTATCTCAATGCAGGTGCCTAGGAATTATGGCCTGTCCCTTTTACCAAATACATTAATATACCACTAACTAAGAAAGAGGTGGAAAGAGACATTTCACCATCTTGGACTAGAAGCTGGAGAGGAGAGGTAGCATTTTTGGAAAGAAAATGAGATAATAGTGATGTTATATTTCAAAATTTTGGTTGGTTATCTAACACCCCTGCAACTCCAGCAGGCTTTTCTGAATCTCAAGGCTGGCTACTTTCCTTTTCCAATAGTTTTCTTTAGGGTTCTGAAGACCCTTGAAGTGTCTTCCTTGCCACTGCTGGATGAAAAAATGCACAGGACTTGGCTGCTACTAACACCTGGCAGCTGGCAGCTCTCTTAGGTGCCAACTGCATACAGACAGGAGATGACATAATGGGGTACACTGTCTTCCAGGAAGCAGAAGGAACCCCTGGCCACATCTTTTGCACATTCCTCCGAAGTTCCAAGCCTCAGACTTTTCTATGATCCAGGAAGAGGTCAGCTGTCTACTGCCAACTACAAGTGTCCCAGTTCCAAGATACGAAAGCACAATTCAGCTTTTGAGAAAAATCCATGTTTTTCCTGTAAATAAAACGGGGCAAGGGCCATTCTCTGGCTGCCTGGTAAAATGGCACAGGCTGGCTGCATCTGCAGACTTGCTGGTTTCCTTCGTCTCCCACAGAGCCTCTGCAGTGTAAAACACAGATAAAGTTCTGTGTCTCTTTTATTGAACTCAAAGTGCCCGACACACTGTGTTACAGCTGTACTCTGAGTGGAAAAGGATGGCTTTGCCCAGCCTGGGTGCAAAGCCTGCTGGAATGCTGCTGAAGGACACTGCACACAGCCTCAGCCGGTGCAGTTGTGTCTGTGTTGCCCAGTGGGAATTGTTGCTACCCTGTGCTATCTCCCAAATGGTGCCAAGTTGTTATCTTGGAGAGCACTGGCTGGCACAGGCAAAACCATGGCAGGGGGAGTGTGAACAACAAACCAGTGCAAGCAGTTGCAAGGCAGTGTGTGATACTACATCTTGGCCCTGATTTATTTGGCACTAATAACTCAGACAATGTGACTGCTAGCATCAGCACTTATGAAGCTCACGAGCTTTCAGGGATATTTTGCAGTTGCTTTTCAAAATAAAGGACCCTTGTCTCTTACAAGGACTGAGTGTGAAACTAGACAAAGGGAGAAGACAACAATTTCCAAGAAGCTGCAAACAAAACAAACTTTCCTTCACATGACTTACAAAAGTACAAATTAAAAAGACCTGACCCTCACTCCTAAGAGCCAGATAATTATCATGAGACCTAGGAGTCAATTTAATTTGTACTAGGTTCCCTGACTGCTCTGCAACCTAGGATATTTTCCCAAAGAGGGTGTTCTGGTCACCTTCCCACTCTGTCTTTGAAGACACGATATAAATTGAGGGATTATGGACAATTTGGAGCTATTTCTGATCAGCCACACACTGGCTGGGACCAATGCAGAGCTCTTTGTTTACATTCCACTTTCAAAGTCAGACTTTGCGTCAAGGAGCAGAAAGTATGTCATTTCTAAAGGATGAGGGGGTAAGGGAATATGTGTCTTTTCGTGAGAGAAAAGTTGTGTTCAGGCAAGCTGGGAGGAATTCAGCCAACAAGGTTCCCACTGCCTTTCATTGAAATCTATTTCCAAAGGAAATGCAGAAGAAGAAAGGAAGCAGTTTTCTATCCTCAGACTTCCATTAAGGGAGGTCAAGGTCTGCAGTAATTCCTCACAATTTCCATAGGTGTTTGGAAGGTGACACAGAAGATAAACAGGTGAAAATGCCTTGTCCCTCCCCATTGCAATGGGTGATACCCATGTGCAGCCTGCTCTTACCCTATGGCTAGTAAGGAATTTCAGGATTAGATATTCAACAATATAATCTGAGAATATTTTAAATACTCCAGACTAGAGATAAGACTTAATGATTCACCTTTATCATTCTGAAACAAGTAGATCTTTAATTCTGCCTCCACTATCAGGTCAAATTAGAAGTTGTGGTTTTCTTGATCATACCCATGGATGTGACACACCCAGGGTATTGTGAAGTTCTGGAAGTCAGGGTGTTTCAGACCTTTGTGGGACCTTCAGGTCCATTTCTTTGTTCAAAACAATTTATTTGTTCCTGGTTAATCAGAAGGAAAGATGCATGACTATCTCAGTCGGATGCTGCTGCACTGCCCTATGTGTGGTTGCTGAAACCTTCCCCATATATATTTTATTTGGTTTCTAAATCAATATTACATTATGCTGGCATACTCCTGTAATTCATTAAGTGACATGAATAAATTCTATAATACCTAACACTTCTGCTTTACTCTCTTTTTCTTTCCTCAAAGGAAGATACACTCAAAATAACTATTTTGAGTTGGTGGGTGTCTGGCCCCTGAGCACAATCTTTTTCATGTCTTCCCTCAAAAGGGGTTTGGCTGTCCATGCTCAAGGCTACCTAAACTGGAATCATCCTGGCTGAGGGTCTCCCCACCTTCACTCAGAAGGTGCTTGTAAATTCAGGCCCTTGCCTGAGCTATGGCACAGCCATATTCGTGCCTGGTAATGCACATTGCTGATTGATCCATGGGATTGACTTCCTAGCTTGACCTTATGTCTGGCCAGTGGATAGGAACTTCTTATTGGATCTGGGTTGATAGCTGATTCTGCTCACTCTCACTGTTCTGCAGTTCTTGTTACTGTGGGATCACACTGTTTTCACTGAGGTCAATGCCTTGCTGTCACCCTCAGCTCCCAGCTCACCTTCCCTCAGCAAGCAAAGCTTGTGACTGCCATAGCAGCAGGCTTGGCATTTTTCCAGTGTATACATATCTGTTATGTTTGCTCACACTAGAGAATACAAAGAAGGGACAACAGAGAAATGCAACCAGCTGTTGGGACAGAGGTTTGTGAGGACTGTGGGACCGCAGAGCTCCTGAAAACAGAAAATTATTTCCATGCAGACCATTAAGTTCTTTATGCCTCACGAACAGTTCTGAGACTTCAACCCACAGCAAATCACTAACTTTTAGAATGTGATTTAATACTCTAGGGATTGTAGGAGCCACTTTCTCTATTGGCTTCACAGCTGTCAAGTCAATTAATGAATGAAATCTACAGCTCTTTCTCAAAATTAAAACCAAGGTAATTTCCTCCAATTCTTATTTCATGTGTTTTCTTTCCTGCCTCCAATGTCTTCGCTGTTTATCCCTCCATCTCCAGCATTCACTATTATACTTTTTCTCTTCCCCCTATCTCTTCTTGATTCTCTGTTCCTTCTTCTTTCTCATACTCTCCAATCTGATTGTTCTGTTTTCTTCCTGAAAGGAAGCAGAAGTAGCAACAAGATAGTGCAAGACATATCTAGTATATCTAAGAGGAAACATAAGTCAAACAAACACATATAACGTCTGGTGTTTTCACAATTTTTGTCTTGCCGAAATAATTTTAACGTAGCTATGCTCTTGCTGGCATAAGGAAAAACCTACCTTCTTTGCCATTCTGATTAGTTATTATCACCACTGTCCCGAGTGTAACACATTATTTTCCACTCAAGTGCAATTATTAGCAAATCCTGCTATAATGTGTCCGTGTGCTCTCACAGTAAAAGCAGGGGACAGTGTTTGAAAAGCTAATGAAACCAGATGGATCAGCATGCTCTGCTTCCTGTTCTTTCTCATCCTGTACAGAACCAGCTTCCTCCCTAGTCTGGACATAACACTGGTGTCTGTAAACTGGATACTATGCTAGCTGCAAGACCAGTCCATGTCTGTTTGCCCAGCTCCATATCTTAGGTTCATCAACAAAGCCTCTTCAGGCCCTTCACAGTACAACAGCCAGGAAATTTGTTTTTACAGCAGTTGCTAAAGCTCAGAGTCACATTCACCATTTGATAAGGC